GGAAACCTGTTCATTTAATTGCCACAGCTAACCGCCTTCCCTAGTAAAGGATCTTCCTTTATCTTAATAGAGGATGTGCTTTTCTGTATGCAACACCAAAAGAAAAGTTCCTGTGAACAGAATTCTTACCAAGACCCTTCCTCTCTGTTCCCATCTTCTGGAAATGGCTGTTAGCCATCCTTGGCCAGGAGCTGTCACATACAGCTGGCCAGAAGAGTGCACAAACACCCAAGGGGCTAAAGGAAGGCCACTTGGGTCCAGCCTCTGGCCCCACCCTGCTGGCAGCCCAGGTGTCCCAGCCAGATAAGAGGCATTTTCTCCACTGCAGAGCCATGTATGAGAGTTTGTTCATCTGCGTGCTGAGATTACAGTGAGAAATGGACAGACTATGACATGATTTCAGTTTGAATAACCGTTATTGGTAATGAAGATAAAGACATTTTGAAACATCGGCATAATTTAATGGTGTTTGTACACCAGTTTGCTTTTCTGTTGTTGTTTTTAATCAGTTTGTCCTCTCATCCCCTCTGAAATGCTCACAGTCCAGCAGAGGAGTGGTTGTGCACATTTGTTCACCTGCTGGGTCAGTCTGTCTTCACCTAGAAGCTTTGTTCTTTTGTCTGGATACCTACAGTGCCTACCATAAAGAGGTGTAATGCTGTGAACCCACTCTGAGGATCTTATTCACATGTCCTGAGGGCTCCTGCTGCTTAAGGGTTGTTCAGCAGTCCGAGGCTGTCTTGTTTACATTGCCTGTTATCAGCTGAGCAACAGCTGTTTGCATAACAGCTTTTCATCTTTCATCTCAAGTCTCGTGAAGCTCCTGCTCAAAATGTTGTTCCTACCTTTGACCTGTCACTGTGTCTGTTCTAGCCACTAAGGCTACACAAAACCTGATCTTCCATTTCCATGGACAGGAAAACTCTCCACGCAGTCTGCAGACCCCTCTCAGCATTCTTCAGAGACAGGTTTGGTTTAACTGGGGCAGTTACGCGTATACTCCTGTACTCCACAAAATCATAGGGCCTTCTTGAATTTTCCATGTAGTAGTTGCATGGGGAATTTCACAGGGCTTTCCTGCCCTGAGGTAGAGCTCATTACAAATGGAAAGTGATTTGACTGAAGTCCTTCCTATCTTAGTTTCACTGACACAATATCCTACCCTGCGTCTTTGGCTATGGATCAACTGGAAGGAAAGAAAGTCAAGTTCCCTAAGTTTCCCCTGGATAAGAAAGGGAATACAGATGTGGTGAATAACAAACTGATCTCACTTGGAAAAAACAGCAGCATCTTCTACCACGTCTTTTCAGCTGACCACACGGCTGGCAAGAGACCAAGTCATTCCCCAAAAGACATGCCTATAGCTATCATACAGACAGGCCATTGGAAGGCACTGATAAGCTGGGTCCGAGTCAGTGCCAGGTTTTGCCCTGGAGCAGGCAGAGAAGCTGGCAGTATCCTGGTATTACCGCTTATCTGCATTTCTCTGTGTGGAGTCCAGCTTTACAGCTCCAAGGAGAATACATCCTTGGAGCATCCTTTTGAACCTGTCTGCCATGTTCACAATTATTATGAAAGACCCAAATTCCATAAACCAGCTAAACTTCCAGCCCCAAACTAATTGCCCTTTATCAATATGCCTACGAGCAGCTGGAAAGATTAAAACTGAACTGCCTATCAGCAGAGAAAAGAAAGATTTCATCTAACCTTAACCACCCTAAAGTTGCACATCTAGCATTAGCCATTTGCCTGGGCTCCCCCTCCAGTCAATGGAGTGACTCCAGAGCATGATTAACCACATCCTAAGAACAGTGCCTATGGTTGGTGGGGTGAATCACACTGGGGAACTGCCTGGCTCTCTCTGTGAAGAGAGCTTTACCAGATGGCTTTGACGACAAGCTTTTCTTTTAGGTGCTTAAAATTATGTGAGGTGAATCCCACTTCAAAATGTTCAACCTCAGTGTCTTCCTCAATCAGGGAAAAGCTGCAAATTAACTGAGCATGTGAACAGCCGCTGGATTTAACTGTCAGACTTTACCCAATAGAATAATAATCCTGCATGGATTTCACAGGGAAGGTGGGAGGTGCCTGGAACCCCAGCAGTCAGTGCTCCTGCCCAGAGGGTGCGCTGAGAGGTGCAAGCCTGTTCCCTTCACTTCTGCTCCTTGGTATGGCCTGGCTGGCTCCAGCTCTGGCTCTGACAGCTGCTGGACTTGCATTCCTCTCATACTTCACGCTCTTTCAGGTCTCTATTCCCATTCAGCCTCACAGCATACAAGCTGCTAAGAGCTGCTACACCCACCTTTTAGACAGGTGAAACTTACGCCTCTTTCCCCTGAGCGCAATAACAGGCCTGAGGGCACATGAAATCCTGCATCAGTAAAAAGCACTGCGGCAGGTACTGGATGGGCAGGTGTGATGGACTACCCTGTCACACAAACCAGCCGCGCAGTTCCCTGTAGCAAGGTCCACCCCATAGACAAATCTGCTGGAGTACTTTGGGTAACAGCAACATGGAAAAATTAAACGGAAAGGATTAATGCACCAACCTTTGCAGAATGCTTGGTTTGCACCAGGCATGAGAGTTGTAGAAAAATAAAGTAAATCATGTAGGAAATAACCATTTATTGAGGAAGAAATGCTCTCAGGTATGAATTCATTAACTTTCTTCTCAGGCTAGTTTCTAAGGAATTAGGAGTACAAGACACACGACAGTGAGACCAGCAACTGAATTAACTATTTTTATGTCAGTTTTGTCGATATAGTTTGTTCAAAGACCTGAGGATGGCAAGGTTTAGATCCTTTTGTGTGCTACCTGCTAATTTTTTTCTCCTGTCAATATTTGCACATGTTTAAATCAGTGCCCTAAACTCCTCTTTTTTTTAGAATGTAAAGGTAATTCTTTGTAGAGGGAGGGACACCTCACAAGAGATGCCCTGGCAGTGCTGCTCTGGCAGGGATCATGGCCTGGTGCAGCCATGGGTAAAAACCTGCCTTTTCAAAGAAGTGTCGGGACGTTTCTGGTTATCTGATTGCTGTTCAGAGGTTAAAGTGCTGGTCCCTGCAAAGATTATCCAAAGTTTGAATAGTGGCAGATCGATGCATCTGTTTGCCCAGAAAGTCCCTCACGTTTCTATTTTTGGTACCTTACATATTTGAGGACATAGGTCCTTCAAAGGGATTAAAAAAGAGACACCAGAACCATGTCCTCTGCAGCGCTGACACAGTTTACGCTTCCTGTTGTTCCAGAAGTGATGGAGGAGGCCTAGTGCCTTTTGTACAGCCCATGTCTGACAGGGAGCACGTCCATTGCCACTCCCCTGTGTGCCATCCTGCAGGGAAAGCGCCACTGATTATTTTTAGCCTTCTTTCCAACAGGGTGCTGGCAGGACCTCACCGTTTGCCACTTTCCCGGTTTCCACCTCTGAAACAAGGGCCCCTGTGTTGTGTCAGACCCATGGGGTAAACGTCAGGTGTATCCTAAATGTGATCATCCCAAAAGAGTCCCTGCGTGATCCTGGGTGCTGGGTCTGGGGTAGGATGCTGGGGCTGGGGGCTGAGGGAAGCAGATGCCACCTGTCCCTACAGTGAGGCCTGGAGAAGGCAGCAGTGGGAAGTTTTCACATCTCCTCTTCCCTTTTTGGCCTCGCAGCTCAGACAAAGGGATTTGCGTGAAGTTACTCACATGCGGCTTCACACGAGTCGAGTGGCTTGGGTAGGAAAAATTCCACAATGAACATTCCCAAGCCTTTAAACCTATCACACCCACTTGCAACTGCACAAAGAGAGATTTAAGCAGTTTTTAATATTCCCTATGAGAAATGACCATTGAGCCTTAGCAAGCGATCAGCAAGGGGAAGTGGGGATGTGTTTGTCTGCAGATAGCAAACATAGAATGCCATTTTTGCATACTATCTTTCCAATCTGCCAAGAGTGATTTCTCTACAATGTATGATACAGGCAAGATACCTGCGGAAAGCAGGGTTCTGCTGATTATGATCAGCCACTCTTAATTTCTCTCAATAGCTGATGATGAACAATGTGTGATTTATGACCTAGCTAATTTTATGTTTAGCTGTTGAGCTGCTATGGCTGCTGAATTATTTGTGTTGCTCAACACTGTTTCAGGGAGCAGGAACAAGATAAACTCAGTGTCTGTTTAAAAGAATCAGCTTGCTGAGAAAAACTGCAACAGACACATTTATCAGAGATCTAGCCCTACTTTCTATTAAGTGGGCTAAAAATACGATAATTGCTTTCAGTCTAAGTTTCCTGTGAGAACCTGTAAGGGCCAATGGCAATGGTGTAGCCTGTGTTGCCTGAGTACCTCAGTCAGGGGGTATTGTGTGACTACTGCAAGCAAAATGTTGGCAGATTTTGGAATGGAAACCTTGGGCAGAATGGGAATACGAAGGTCTTTCTGCTTCCAGGGTGGCTGGCTGACTTCCCAAAAGGACCTCTCCTGGGGCAAGGTATGAATGGGCTTGAAGAAGTCAGATAACATACATCAATAACAACGGGAAGAAAAAAATGCTCAGAGTCAGTCTTGCTCAGTCCCATCCTCCCTCCTTTTCTTCATTCTCATGTTGATTTTCACAGTTAGATGCAGCCATGAAGCGAGTAAATGACTTCTAGCTATAAATGCTGGTAGGCTAGCCTCATGGAAATGAGTGTCAAAACTCACACTGATTTCAGAAGAACCAGAACTTCATCTGCAGTATAAAAAGAAGATCATAGATCATTGTACTGCTTTTGCAAGAGTATCAGATGAGTTCTGTCATTTTACCACTGCTTGACACAAAACTATTTTGGAGCTACTCAGCTACTCCATTCAGTTCACAGGATGGCTGTGAGTCAGATGAGATTATTTGCCCCCTAATTTGCTCTAATGATATGAGCATTTGGGCCTCATTTTTAAAGTAGGCCATATATAGACAGGAAAAGTAGGCCAAGGATGCTAGTAAACAGTTCAGTCCTTACTGAAGACTCAACAACTGAAATGCAGTTTCAAAACAACCTTTATTCAGCTTGAAGACTTAGTACAAGTTTTAAAGCAACTTAAAAACAAGACACAGCTCCATCAACTCTATAGCTTGAACGAAATTTCAAGGAGGCATGCTGTCACACTGTTGCCTTGAAAAGGCAATTTCCAACCTATTTTACCCTCCACCTCCTCAAAGACCATTTAAAGACAAAGTAATCTTAATGTTTTAAAGACATTTAACAGAACAGAGCTTTATTTTTAAAAACAAGAATAATAAAAAAAAAAAAATAAAGTAGCAGCATCTTGGGCAGCTAATGCAATCTCATTAGGACAAGTACAATGCAGTGTTACCACAGCCCACTGTAGTCTTCAACTGCAGTAAATCCAACATGATTCCGTATCAAATGTTGCATTTTGGAACCCTGTCCCATGGGAGGCATTGTGGTTTGAGCTGCCCATTTCTGAAGTGACCCTGAAGAGAAATAGTATCAGGATTCACTTTCCCAACTTAATACCATGCATAGCAAAAGCACTGTGTGAAAATCGGCAGAAGTTTTGCCCATTAGAAGCATCAGAATGTTTTCCCAAGCATTATTATTTCATTGCCAATTACAAGACAAAGCCATTTCTTCACTACAGAACAGTTGACACCAAACAGAAAATTTAAGATTTGGTTTTACAGATTGCTTGACAAGATTTCTCAGATAACTGAACCATACAGACAAGCTTCTTTTTTTTTTTTTTTAAGAAAATATCCAACAACACAGAAACTCAGTTTTCTAACTGCATTTGGAAACATGCTGCACTCACAAAGGTCTAGTGTGCATGTGCGTGTGTCTTTAAACAAAGTCAATTATATCACTTACTGAATTCAGCAAAATGATCACATCTGGTGAAAATGCACCTATATTGGTATCCATACATAAACACAGCAAGTGTGCACACATATGCACAGATACATATCCCCAAACCTGCCAATTCAAATTTAAACTTAGGGAAATCAGAAACTCCTAATTTTGCTTATGGGTTTTGGCTCTCTGTGTTATGTCTTATACATTTCAAAGGCCTGCAGTGCAGCGTAACTCAGGGATTTAAAATAAAAGTACTCCAAACCAAAAATACATAACAAATAAATCCCACCCTTGAATTACATTGGATGGGAAAAAATATATGTCATTAGAAATACAGAAAAACAATGTGTTTCTTCAGTTATACCCACATGGGTTTTTTCTGTATATATGAGTCTGAGACCAAATCAAAACTGGAGTGAACAACATGGTACATTAAGGACAAACAACTCTGCAGTGAACAGGGCCTTTGACAGGACTTAGCACTGTGTATTAAGCAGTGAGGGAAATGCAGATGCCATGCAATATGTAAGTACCAAACAAAACCCACTCAAACCAATCTGAGGGCGTAAGTGATCCTTGCAAATTGCACAGACCCTGTGTAGGCAGGATATCCCCATAAGAGTCTTAAGCACTCATCCCCACAACATAGTGCTTATTTCTCATAGTTGCTTGTGCAAGAAAAGCAAGTGCCAAATTTGTACACACACTATTTTTTTCTCTGCTACAACCACAGATGAAGAGCACGACAGGAAAAAGTTATATTCCATACTGGGTTGGGCATGCTAAGGATAAGGCCCACTGACATAGCAGAGGATTTCTTACTATGAGGAAAATCAGATCCAAATGCCTTAACTACGATAAAATTTCTTGACAAATGCTACGTGAAACATCAATTCAGATTACATATATTTTGCTTATAGAGAAAAAAATACAATTTTACTCTTAAAATATTTAACATTCAAAAATTAATATATGTCAAAAGAGTATCTTGGATTGCTACAAGTGTTAAACTGTTGTATATTGAACTAATTTATAACTTCAAGCCCAGTAGTATAACTGGCATGATAAGAGTAATTGATGGTGCTTTTCATAGTAAAAGCCAGTTATTAGTAAATTGAATTTACATGACTCTACAGGCCTGAAAAGTGTGGAATGAATAAAGGAAGGGATGAAGACTAAATTTCTATTGAGAAAAAGATACTCAGAATAATTTTGAAGTTGTGACTATCCTGAAACCCTAATGTTGGTTGAATCTTACTTTCTTACCAGAATTTGTATCAGGAATCATACCTATAGGGAAGCAAAGACAACCTCCACCCCCCCCAAAAAACAGAAAAAAACCCCACCACAAAATCAAAATAAAATCAAAAGCTTTACAGCTTCAGAAATGAAGGAATAATGTAAAGAATCAAAAATAATATGAAAACTACCAGAGACTGGCAAATTTCCTCTTATTACTTCCAATAGCTTAGGAAGTACCTGATACTTTGAACTAAACACATGTATCTCTAAACCAGAGCTATTATGAGAGAACACCATGGGTCTTACTCTTTTAGTTGTGTGTACAACGCTCTTTAATAGTAATGGGTCTTGCCTTTGCATCTTGGGGAAGAATAAATCTGTATGTTCACCTAGTTAGAATATTTCCAAGGTTTCTCTGAACTTCATTACTTTATCAATTTGCAATGTGTGAATTTTCTCAGTGTCAGGACAGTAAGCAACCATTGCAAACCACCCACAGTGAATTATCCCAGAATTCTTAGTAAGTCTGTGTTAGTGGAATTCATGTATTCATTTCCTTTAACTCAAACATGATTCTGTAAGTCTCTGGTGCCGGAAATTATAAAATATTCACTTTGATACAGTATGAGCCTACAGATTTAGGGAAATAAATCCAAAAAGTTAAATGTGATAACCTAATGATTTGAAAAACATTTTCCAGTCTTAATTAGCTCCATGTTGTATCCAAACATTATCAGCAAAGGTGGGAGTCTCTTTTTCACAATACTAATACAAAAAAAACAAACTTAGGCAACAGGTTAGAGAAAGTTCCTTCATATGAAATGAAAATACCATTACATGCTGACAAAAATTCTGCCACAGTAGGTCAAGAAGTCTTTTATTTACTGTGAAAAATGGAATCATTCTAAGATCCAAACTATCTTCTCCAATAGCTAAATATCCCCTGTTTTTCTGCAATTGCTATCAGAGAAGGATACACAATTTTTCATCTTCCAAATACAAAGACAATCATGACAGAAGTTCAAAATGCTTTAAGAAGCAAACAGCGTGGTACCGTATTCTAAAGATATTTCTGAAACAATATTGTTGGACTCAGTGATGTTTCATAATGTTCATGTATTTTTTTATTGAATAAAGCAGCTTTGAAGCTTATCAGGCACTGCCCAACAAAATAGTCAAAAAAAAAAAATACTAACTCTTAAAACTCTGAGTTAGTAGATCAGTATTCTATACAAAGAAAATTGTAGAATATTTCATAGTTTTAATTCTGAAGCCAACTGTTGCTGGCTTTCTGTACATTAAAAAAAAAGGAAAAAAAAAACACAAAAAAAAAACCACAAAAAACCAAAACAAAAACAACAAAAAAAACACCAAAAAACAAACAAACAACAAAATGAGTACCAAAAAATAATCATCAGGAAATATATTCTCAGGCAAAAGAACAAAAGGAAATAGAAGACAGGGAATCAAGAAAGAAAACCAAGCTTAACCTGTAGATATGCTTGAGAAAAGACTACAGCCTAAAGAAAATTCAGTATTGCATAGCATGATCTAAGAATTTAGCTTTCAGCAAACAGAAAAGGAAAAAAAGATGCAGTTTGGTATTGATAGTTTCCATCCATGATAGTTAGTCCTATGTACATAATTATATATTGTATGCCACTGAAAGTCCCGTTTTCTTCAGTTTCATATTCTTAAAACTGGATTTCAAACATCTAAACAAAACACTTCCTGGCACTTTGCTATTACAATTACTCGGAACAACATACTGAAGTCCTTTTAAAGTGTCCCTAGAAATAAAAGTGCCATTCTGCTACATATCATTCACCAGAAACCAAAAAATCCACAATGCTGTGTGTCTGGATCCACTGAGTGCAGCAACACCAAATCCAAGCCAGGTTGTGACCATGAAAATTCCACTAATCAAATGACAAAGACCTCTTATACCTTGTGTCTGGAGAATCCAATGTTCTAGCTGGTAAAGCTTCAGGAGTGGTCGTAAACAAGCACCAAGCTTAAAGGCCTCTATGTCCCTGCAGGGAGATCAGGTTCGGATTTCTCTCTGTTGTGTTTTTCTTTTCTTAATTAAAAAAAAAGCACTTCAGATTAGAAACATACATTCACAGCTTAGTACTGTGATTTCTCCCACTGCAGTTGTGAAAGAAAGCTCTAGTCCCATCTGAAGACAGACAGCTTTGATACTGCAGCTCAAATTCTTGAGTAAGGCTGAAAGGAGCCTTTTCTCTCCAGAGGCCTCAATGTTGTCAAATCTTTTCTACAGAAAAAAAACCAAACAACCCAGAGTATTAAGATCTTCATCGCCTCTGCTGTGCATATACTGGGTAGGCTAGTGTGACATTGAGAGAGTCATTGTGCTGCACAAGTGATGTGTGTTGATAATGTAGCACCAGTTCTTTGAGTGAGCTGTACAAGTTATACGGCTCAGCAAATCCATATCCAGTAGGTGTTTTGTTTATCACACAGTGCTTTACTTCTCCATCCACCCTAAAGAGGAAAAAAAAACAAACAAAACAAATGGTTTTTGGTTTGTCAGTAAAGTTAAACTAGAAAATAAGGTACTGGCAATAAATTTTAAGATACTAGTCACTACCTAGAATTCCTGTATTCTGTGGTAGGATAATGGTAAAAGCCTAGGTTTAACCCAAATTCCCAGATGTTGTGTTAGCTTAGAGAGGGAGGAGACAGGCAGGACTTAGCAGCTGCACAGAACGGAATGTGCCCGTGCTTTGGTTTCCCTTCTTTTGCATGAGGCTCATCTGTGGGAGTTGCACAGGTTCGAGCTGCGAAAGAAATGGAGCAGCAATAAGGATGGCCTCAGGACTTGCTAGTGTGCTGCTAAGCTCAAAGGACTAGTAGGATCCAAGCATACTCAAATTGTCTATGTGTCCTCGGCTCACGGCAGGTGCCTCAAATGTCGGCTGCATCATTCACAAATTAGGGTACGTACACAACAGAGCAGGCATAGCAGCCTTGTTTGCTGCTCTCTCGAACAAGGAATGTTCCATCTCGTTTTCCCCGCAGCAGATTTTCAGCTTGGCTCCTATTGATATTTCCCACATTCCATGTTCTCTCATCATGATGGGGCAAGTCCTCATCATCTTCTACCATAGAGTATTGGCTGTTGAAACAGGACAAAATGTGTTTGTGAAACACACAGCAGAGCAAAATCCATGAATTAAGTAGTCCCCACTTCATATTACTTTAAAAAAGAAAAAAAAAAGTCAGTGGTTACTAGAATGCCTTCCTGGTAAAATTAGGGATGTAAACCACTGTTCAAACCACTGCATAAAAATAAAATGTAAATTCTGGCTCTTGCTTGTTTTAAAAACACTCATGTAAATCTGAAGAAGTATATAAAAGGATGCTGTTTTACATTTCAGAATCTGCTGCAAGTTTGTCAGTACTTCTACTATGGCTGACTGTTTTGGCAAGCCCAACAAAATCAATCCCCTCTGAGTCAGCTTTATTTCCAAAGATCAGAACATTTGGTCAGCAGTGAAAAATCATGCAATATGTATCAACAACAGCTGCTGCTTGGGAAAGCTATGAGCAATTGCACAGGTAGACAGATTAATTATTTATACAGGAGATGGCTTTGTGGAAAGAGTGGAAGAGTAGAGTGCTCTCTCTCAACTTATAGACTATGACAAGAGCATATAATATAGGGCCTTCTCTACTGAAACAGCCACCAACTATAAAGGTTATAAAGAACCCTCTGAGCTAAAGCCCACCATGAAAGAAGCTGTCTCTGGCTCAGCTGTGTGGACAACCACCTTGACGTTCTGCAGTCCCAGAGCTCCCCACTCCCCCAGCAGCCTGCACTCGTGTGCCCTGCCTCTCCTGCTCAGCTTGCAATCATTCTGTGCTTAGCTAATGTATTATTATAGGTTTTTAATCAGTTTTCTTTGGTCTAAGAAAACGTGACTTCTCACTAATCTTCAGTTCTGTCTTTCTGAAGATTCTCAGTCTACACAAACTCTCACACAAGAATGAACTTTTGTTTTCAGATGACAAGAAGGTCCCTAGAGAGACCTATACTCTCTCTAGGTCTCTTATCCCATTGTATACTCTTTTGTCGTGCATGACATTCAAATGCATTCAGCAGTGGCTCTATTTGCAAACAGAGCATACAGACAGAGGTTCCTGTTTTACCTGCTGCTCAAAGTAAAATAATTGATATTTCACTGCATTACAACTTTAGGAAAAAAGTTATATTTTGAAAGTTTCATTTTCCAGCAGAAACCTGAGCACTTACCAGACTCCCTGGCAAGGAGAGTCACAGAGTGAGAAAACAGGAAGGTTTTCTTTAAACAGTTACACTTACTGTTTTAATGTTACACTAAAACCATGGCCTGGCATTGCTCTTTGTCTACTGTTTAAAGTGATGGGAGTACCACTGGAAACAGGTGCCTACATATACTCCATTACATCATCTTTGAGCTGTGGTAAAACTGAGCATACAATATGGCTTTAAAACATGTATGCCATTTTTATCCCCTGCTTCTACCAGTACAGCCAGAGCAGAGAAGCACAATTTCCAGGATAACAGTAGGAGACTCAATAAACCAAGACAAAATAAAACAGACGTGGACAAGGCTAGAATGTAATCCACTGAAGAGTCATTGTCAGTCTGCTGCTTTTGCTATGTGTTCAGCCAGGCATTGTGAAAGGCATGCACAAGAAACTGTACAGGCAGAAAATGTTGATATGAATATTACTAAGTCAACTTTGTTTTTCTGATTTTTCTACTTGTTCATTCTTCACTGTTACTATACTTCTGATACTATTTTGCGGACTGCTTTTGTTTAAATTTGGTCCACATTCACACCACCCAGATGCTTTTTGCTTTTTTCTCAGGAATGAAGTGAAACATACTCATTAGCCAAGCTCCTGTCAGAACCTATAGTAAACTGAATTGCTTGAAATGTCAGAATACCACCCCGCCATTTCCCAGAAAAATTAATTAGACCACAAAACCAGAGAAGGACCACTCTTCAGCTTATACAGTTTTACCACATCCAACAGCAGTGTGACACACTAACGTGGGTAACTCTATACTAGATAGCACCATGGTACCAATGCTTGAAGGCTGGAAAAAGCCTTCAAGCTGACCCCATGCCTCAGAGACCTTTTGAACAATTAATCCATCCATATGGCATCTCTATAAGATACTAACACCTTATGACCTTTATTTTTCTGGTAAGAATAAAGACACAGGTTACATTGCAGTGCTTTGCTGTAGTAACTTGATTATGTACTTCCCTGAATAATGAAGAGTACAGTGCAAGACAGAATCCTTTCTAATACTTGCATTATACAGGCCTGCCATGTTTTAACAGTATGCACTGTTGTAGGAGACCTAGGTTTAAGATTTCCGCTTTGTGGTTCAGGAATTAAATATGCTTAATCTCACTTTAACATAAGACGATTTGGAATACCAGAAATATTTAAATCTTTTAATACTCACTCTTCTGTATTTTCATTTCCAAGCCATTCATTCAACTTCTTTTGACGAACACCCTTCTGAGTCAGCCACCTGAACAGTAATTGCAAATAAAATTATTTTTTTTGTCACAGAAGTTGGATACCAATTAAAAAAACACTTAAAAAACCTCTATTAATTGATAATGATACTCACATCAAGTATTGATCTCTTGTCTTCCTCAGCTGTATGAGGTCTGGCTTAATGCTGTTCATACGTTTGTCTATCTCTCTATACTCAGCTGCTTGCTTCTTCAAATCCTCTTCTAATCTACGTCTGCTGTCCACGATTTCACTGATTCGAGACTTCAGTTTTTCATAGTTGTGCATGATTCTGAATGGAATAACATGATAGGTTACACTCTGGTATCTTATTCATAACTTTATAATCTGCTATTCAATGGTATAGACACTTAAGAAAACAGGTTATTTCTCTAGATGTAGCTATACATTTTGCAAAAGAAGCTTCTTTTTGCTTCAAATGGGGTAGATGTGAAATGAACAACTGATGAACAACTTCAAACTTGCCATCTTGCAGATCTATACTTGGCACTGTTTCTTTCTTCAAAATCACAAAATCATACAAGTTGAAATGCAAATACAAATACTGACCTTTGTATTTCTTTTTCATTTCCTTCCCGTTTAAATTTTTCAATGTATTCCTTACTGTATCTTTCTTGTGTCTGGCACTGCTCTTCAAATATTTTTATTGTTTCATTAAATGCTTCAATAGCTGTTCTTTTCATTTGAATTTCCTGAAAATAAAATATTTTTTATTACAGTTGTTATCAGATAGAGGGGATGATTTATTGGTTGCATCACAGAAACACTTCAGTAGATTGTAAAAGAAGACTTCAATATCCCTTTACCAGAATGCATTCTGCCTACAGAGCCTTGCAACACAGAAAGAACAGACCTGTGCAAAAGGCAACCATGATGGAGTTTTCGAAGAAAGAAAAACTGCTAGACAAAGAGCTACCTACAATATTTTTTTCCATATAACTATATTTAATTTGAGAGGATTAGAGCCTTATGGCAAGGCACTTTGCCCTTTCCACCAACTAATGTCTTTAGAGGCACATCTGGGTTTCTGAAATAAAAGAGTAAGGTACTTGCCTAGACAGGTCTCAAGATGTCATCTAGTCCATCCTCCTGCCTCTACATAGCTAGTCAAGTCTTTTAAACAATTTTAAAATGTTCAAGTTGCCTGCACTTCTTCACCTTTCTTCAAATATTTTTTTTAGGCATATTTCCTGCACATTTTAAGAAGCAGTCTTGATTCTGGGTCTGTAAAACTGCATTAATTCACTGGAACTTCAAGACTTGGCTAATAATTGATTTAAACTGAAAGAAGGACAGAGGCAGCTTTTCTTTCCTTCACTGTATCTGCACACCATCTCTACTGTGTACAGGTGAAACCATACCCTTCAAAAACCAGTAATAAAATGCAATGCTTCCCTGTAAATGTGCATTGAAAACTGTAACTCAGAACTTGATGAGGTCAGTAGTGCTCGTATATTAGGACAGTTCTATGCCTGTTTTGGATGCATGTGTTGGAGTTAGGCACAGCATGGGTTACGTTACAGGTGGTGACTTTTCAGACACCAATAAGCAATTCTACTTATTGAGAAAGCACATCAGGCATGTTTCCTCTTTTAGGCAATGGTAGTGGTGCCAGAAGGGAAGAGGATGAGGATGGAGGAAGATAGCAGCATGAATTTATAATAACATTCTAAATCTACAGAAGTTTTCCACTCTCCCTTTGGTTTCAAATCCAGCTCACCTGTGATGTTCTTGTGTAGTCTTCATAAAGCCTGTCATATTCTCGGCTTTTTTCTTGGAATTGGGTATTATATTCATGTAATTTCTTTCCCACTGCATCAATGCTATCCTCTTTTACAACTTGATCCTGGAATGGCGAGCAGATGCAAAGATATTCCATAAAGAAACAATTATATTGCATACATTTTCAGGATAGAACTGCTAAAAAATGCCTAGATAGTTACATGGAAATGTGACTCCTCTTTCATAAGCATGGGGGTATAACATATTACATGCATAATATGCAAATGAGAAATAAATGACAAAAAGCAACTTTGCATTGCAAGTGTTCAGCTTTATACTGAAAATTATATGTTTCATCATAAGGAGTGGAATATTTATTAACATAAGTTTATTTCTTAATAATGTATCTGCAGTATTTAAAGTTTTAATTATTTATATGTAAACTGTGGAGCTGGTTTTAAACAAAAATATCCATTTTTATATCCACTTCATTTTTTTCAAGTTCTAACAGAGCTGAAGTTCTTCATAGTAAACGACTCCCCAGTGTGCAGTAATTTCTATGTATTTAAGTGAAACACAAAGAAAACAGATGAAATTACCTGCTGGTACTTAGATACTGGATACAATAATTTTACATCCAGTTTAGGATTGTACTGGGCTAGAGATTCATTCCGGTAGTGGTTTATTAGCTCAACCACAGAGTTGAAAGTTAATGGGTCAGAAAAGCCGTATTTTCCATCTCGATGAAAGATTTTGATTAATTTGTTATTTCCTCCTTTCCTGCAAATAAAGTTTGTTGGAAAGTTAGGCATAATTCAAGTACTACTTCCCAAAGAACACTGTATTTTAAATGCAGTATTGCATTTACTGTCAAGTATTACAGACCTACTGTAATTAATCTTACCTTAGCGTAAGTGTGTAGTCCCCATGCATTTTGGTTGAAGCATCTCGTACCAAAAAGGTACCATCAGCAGTGTCTCGGAGTTTCTCATTTACTTCTTCTCTAAAATGAAAGCAAAAGTAACCAATCATTTCAGCTACTTCTCACTCATTTATTCTCTCACTGAGCTTTAAAATCTTCTGGTTTTGAACTTGTGGGTTTTAGAAATCTTCTTGATCTCCATATTAATAAATACAGTTACTCAATAGCTTAGTTAACATTGCAGGAGAACAACTGCGATATAAAAATGGTATATTCTATGTCCTCTCACTGTTGGATGAAATTATATTCACGCAAAGGTCTTTCTGCTTGTTCATACAAGCCTGCACAATTGGAGCAGCCAGTGCTGGTCTAGCATACCTATATATAGTACAGTTAAAAATGTTGCTAATATATGGCACTTGTTAGTCTGGCTTGTTAACTGCTGTTCCTACAGTTGAGGTTCTGAATGAAAGACAAGAAGAAAATCCTTACTTTGTGCTATCATGTCATGCTAGCATTACATGTACTGTACCTTAAAGTAATAGAACAATCATTTCACATACTACATTCTATGTGACTGCCAGTAACTTTTTAGTCATGTTTGGATTAAAATCAACTGTAATACATTCGTTTTGGAAAATATCCTCAAATTGGCTCTTAGAACTGTAATTTTTTGATACTGAAGCATAATACATATACACAAAATAGCATAGCAAGAACATATGAAATACATGTCTTGAGCTTATTTACCTTGAGATATCTCCCCAGTACCATTCAGCATCTTGTAATGCCATGTTGTTATTCATGCTGTTGTTAGTTACACTATTAGGTTTTGGTGGCTTAGGAGGCAGTGCTGCAAACGAAAGGAAAAAAAACATGAAAAAGTTGATTATAACTCACTGAAAACCTGACTATATATTACTTGGAATTACACATTGTTACATGAATGAGAGAAAAAAAAAAAGAAAAAAAGTCACAAAATAGTGTTTTCTGCTACTAATAATCTTTAAAAGACATTAGAGCAATCTCTAAAAGACATCAGAGGAATTAAGATATTTTACTGAAAACAATACAAGTCCACAATAAAGATGTAGTGTTTCAAAAGAAGTGTGCTACTTTTGCAATAATATATTTTAAGCAAAATATAACGCCATATATTCTCTCCCTGTGAAGAAAGCATTTGAGAAAAAAATAATCTGAAGTTTGCTTCTACCTTCTTTCACTATGGTCAGGTGAATATAAATAATAAAGCACATAAAACTGCTTCTTTTTTGCCTCTTTTGTAATGACCTTAGAGGAATGTTGCTGATTCCTCACCTAGAACCTGAATAATAAAAGATGCAAACCCACAGCAATAAAGCATATTTAAAGAAGAATTGGGGTTTTGTCATCCTCAGCATTCTGCATGATGATCTGCCAAAACCAACACTTCCAAGAAACCCATCTGTGACCCAAATATCCCTTATGTTAATCTTAGTATTCTACAGACTAAATTGTGTTCCAAATGCTAGGACTGATTAAAAACCACATCCCCCTCTTCTCAATGTCAAAGCTGCACACGTATACCAGTGAGTGCCACAGAAGATACTGCAGCACTCCTGACTTAGTAGCAAGGGGAACTACATTGGAATCAGGATTAAAAATCAACCCAGCTCTTTTAGTTTTCCAGTAAGTACATCATTCCTTACAGACATCCCTGTCCTGTACACTATGATCAGGTACCAAAAATTATACTTTTAAAATTACAGTGTACATCAATATAGCATAGTATTTTATATGATATAAAAAAAAAAAAATCTAAAATCAGGTCTTTAATTAATACTGCTAGATTTTAAAGTTGTTTTTTTTTTTTTCCCTCAAACAAAACAATGATTTGCATCACTGTTTCAGGAAATAACACTGTTACCACAGCATCTCCTTTTAATTACGGTGTGATTAAAAGAACAGAGATAGCAAAAATAATAACAGAAATACAAAATTTTTTGGATACAACAGCACAACTAGAACTACATCTGACAGAATAAAATCAAAAGAGAAACAGGTAAATTCAGTAAAAATTACGTAAGCAGACAGGTATTTCTACAGGTTAAGATTCTAAGTACATGCACTAAACCAAAATTTAATTATAATTTATGAAAAAAGAAAAAAAAAAGAAAAAACTATTTGTATTAATAACAAAGTAAAGAAATCCTACATATCCACTAAAAATTTTTCAGCAGCTACTGTAAAGACCAAAATGAATTAAGTCTTCCATAATAAGGCAGTTTTACCTGGTGGATCCATTTCTATGTAAAACATCAAGTCTGTGCCACAATTTATATCTGTCTTAGGATATTCTATATCCAGTTCTTCCATATTCCAGACAGTATTGTACATTTGTATAAGTTTCACTGAGTGAGCTCAGATTCAAGAAAAGAGTCAGGCTTTCTTTGTAATGGTGTCTTGGAATTCATTTTAAAACCTATAAGGGGCTGCACTGTAACCTATTACATCATAATCTTCAGCCAATCATGTCAAAATAATGTCACCAGACCACTCCTGTTTCCTCATTTTGTTCTACATTAATCTTAAGACAATTTCAGTTTCAGAAAGAATGTACATTTAGCAGAACTGTAATATAAACCTGGTATTGAAAAGAAAAGGAACAACTGGGCTCTCCTCGCCCCTGTTCCCATCTCATTTTCCTAACTTTACAGCATGGTACAGTCCAATCCTGGCAGGATGACAAAAGGCTGATATGCTGCAGCACGTAGCTCTTACACACAGGCGCACACAACACATGCACACTCACACACAGCTCCCTTTAGAAGTAGGTCGGTCACATCTCAGCTGCACTCTCCCGCTTGGATGCCTGAAGTTTACCATTCAAAAAGCTTTAAAAGGCTTCTGGACTTCTTGCACATATTAAAGATGCAGAAGGGAAAAGAGCATGACTCTGTGCATATGTGTATTACACATTCAGTTTACACATACATACAGAGGCATATGTATTGCCACATAATGAAACATAGATTATGTTTTTAAATTGTGCAGATTTCTATTATTTTAATGGACATTCAGGTCTGACGTACTTGATATTATTATATAAAATGTGCTACGTGCAGAGATATCTTCCCCCCCCCCCCCCGTCATTTTGTAATAAAATACAATTCCAATTGATCTAAACTAACTAATTTTTAATTGAAACCCCAAATATTGTAACCTTACATTCAGTAGACTTGCATAAATCATGGAAGAAAGTCAAAACTATGCAAGATCTTGAGAAAAGATTTTGCTGAACATAAAAAGCCAGTCTGTCAGGATACAAGATTTAGTCTGCTTTTCACACTGTTTCTCTACCCTGTTCTCACTGAGATATTTATCAAGTTAATTGTTTTTAAAGGCAAGAGTCCCTTGTCAGTGCCTCATTCCTCACTTGACTTTATGTCACCAGTGTCCTCCTACTGTTTAGAAATATTCCTTCTTAACTCCCCCCATCACAGACTATAACTCTCTTAGACCTCTAGGAAGAAACATGCACAGAATAGACTATTAATTCCCCAGCAGCATGCTATGTAAAACAATGTGAATGCTTCATACTCACTATAATCTATGGGGGCAGAAAACCAGATACCAAGAATAGCCACAACAAAGAGTAGCTGTAGCAACTATCTGTGCCTACATCATAAGAAAGCCTGGTGCAGCTGAAATATGCTCTATCTCACAAATACTCATTAAAAAAATTAACACAATTCATATTCTTCCCAAATATTTCACATATATCCACACCCCTCTATGCCGCTCAGCAGTTTACCCCTTCTAGACAAGCATCAACATACAAGAACATGTCTGGAGTACCAAAAGCTACAAAAAAATGCATGATAGCTTGCTTTATAAATTAACCTTAAATTCATTCTGAAGTAGACTCCCCTCCCCTTTTAGGTAGACATGCTCTAAAGATTCCTTCCATTTCCAAAATGAAATAGGATACTTAAAATCACCCCAGACACAAGCCCAAACACTGAACTTGGAGGGTTAGCCCACCTGCTACCCAAACAGTTGAGTTACCAAGGTAATTATTTAAATCAAGTTACAAAGATTTCCTACAAAGACTACACTGCTGCATTTAGATCTCATGTGGGATCAGCAGGGTATTTTATTCCTTTGAATAAAAGCTTTCAGGAACAGTTACTTCTCCAGGGTTTCACTGGTGGCCAAATTTTGAACTGCCCACACTTGTATAATCACATTAGTGCTCAGCTCAGACTAACCTAGCTTCAGGCAAGAAAAGACAGGAGGCAGACAGGCGATTCCCCATGCTCTAGATAACCTGGAGAGGTACTGAGATACCTCACTTTCATCGACATATCTTGAGACCATGACAGCTCTACCTAGTAATCACTTATAGTACAGTACTTCCACGAGGTGACGAAGAAAACACACAAATTCAAAATCACTTACTTTGTAAATTATGCATCACAAACGCTCGCCCTTGTAATACCGCCTGAAAATACAATCCAATAACCTGAAAAATTATTTGGTTTCCTCTTACAAAAATCTTCCTTAAAAAATACCCTCAAAACCTCCTTTTACTAGGAAGCTTCTCTGAAGCAATGAAGGAAAAAAAAATCTGGAAAAAGGCTGCTCTGCCAATGTTCCATAAAAATCTCTAAAAGAGCTGTAACATGCAGTGAGAAAATCCAAGCCTTCTTGCTCAACTGCTCAGAGCTCTGTGCTGTGCAGGAGGTATCCACTTACTCTGGTTCATCATTAAAAAGTGAACCTGACTTTAGTACCGTGGAAAGAAAAAAAAAAAAGAAACCACCACCCTCAGTAGCTCTCACGTCTCTCGCTGATAAAGATCTCAGTTTCATGATTAACTTGGGCAGGTTCAAATATTTGCTGAGCCAGGATTTCAGGTGGGGGAGGGGGGGGGGGGGGGGCAGATTCAAAGTAAAAGTTGTCATCAGCTAACAAGTGGCCAATGCATAGCTAACTTTCTCATTTTAGCTAAGTAAATGAGAAGACCATTGTAAGAGGTCTTAAAATAGTCTCTGTCACTGGCTGCTGAGTGCAGTCTTAAAGTTGATAAAATTGCCATGAACAGCCAAATGCAGGAAGTGGCTTACTAACACTGCTGGAAAAAAAGCAAAATAAAAATCTTTCTTGAAAAGAGCTGCATCTCTCAGAACAGCCCCGTGCAAGCAGAATACCCTGCTTGCAAGCACAGCATCACTTCTTTCACACTCATGCTGGATCACAAATACAGGTGCTACTTGAAGACCCCTGCTGTGATGCTGTGAGGCATTTTATCCATTCCCTATAAACTGAAAATAATAGAAAAAACACCTGCCCGTATCCTTGGTGTTTTGCAGTACATCAGGGTTGTTCATTTCTTGGGCAGGCAGGCATGAAAAGGGACTGCATAGAGAGGGAGCAGTTTGGTAAATTTTTTTTCCTGCCCCAGTGTTTGGTGGAGATCAGACTGGCTAAAGGACAGAGCAGCAACTGAAGAGCCCACTCCCCTTTGCCTACAGAGGTTAACATCTCTGCCAGCCATACTTTTACAAGGAAATAAATTCAAAGTGAAAAGAGAAGCAGACCACAAGATTTAGTTTAGAGAAAGAAAAGAAGAGCATTAATATTTTCCTCCCTCCTGTTGGAAACTGTGAGAACTTCTAGTAGCTGCATCCCTTGAGATTTGCTTATGCTCCTTAAGGCAGTCAAATGCTATTGTAAAGTGTTCACCTCCTGAATACTTCACCTACCAAAATCCTCCTATGCTACAAAATACCACTTATACCTAATAATGAAACTCCAAATATCTGCAGTACATTTTTGATGTTTTACAGTTGATTGACTAGCTTCACCCATAACAACCCCCTACTTTTCTCATTTTAGCCATTGCCTGCTTGAACAATTGTCAGTTCTGTATATAATTTAATGCAGCACAATCATAAATGTACAGCCTACTTCAAATGGGAATAGTAACCTGTGTTTCTGCACTAATCTAACTTCTGACAGTAACCGCTATGCCTCCTGTTTACTGTTAAAATCACAGAAGGGGTTGATAACACTTCTTGGTTTATAGGGAGACAATACACAACAAGCATACTTTCAAAGAAGAGAAGAGAACCCAAACCTGGTTCACTGAATTGTTTATAATTTTAAAAAGCACAGGTATCAACACAGAGATAAAAGATACAGCTTTTTCACAAATAAATTTTATTTTATTCTTTTTGTATTCCACTGCCTTGTGCAAAAATTAGTTCCTAATCATTCTACAGAAAGGAATCGAGTGTCTTACCAAAAAAACATACTGGCATGCACACAGTTGCACTGTCACACAATGGCTCTATCTTAATACTTATTAATTGTAAGTTGACCTTGAGTGGTGTCAACTGAATCTATTGATTTGTATTTGCAGAAATTCATCAACCTATTATGTTTTTTTCAGTTGTATTTGGCGTTCTTCTATCTATAAAGCTTCTTTCCCCCATCCCCAAAAAAAATGATGTATGAAGGTTTGATAGGCTTGCTGTGTGTTACATATACTTACATACAAAAACACATACATCAATCAGTACAAAATTCTAGAAACGTTGTACATGTTGGTTCGATTTTACCAAATATATTCAACTAGGTATTGAGAAACATAAAGCATAGACTACTATCAAAACCAAGACTAGAGCGGCATTCCTAAGCACTGTGATTAATAAAGCATTTTGCTGTCCTCTGAAGCGGGTACAAAGCCTGAGTTTATTAGCTTAGAAGGGGAGCCCTCTGCCGGGTGATGGGCGGACGAGCAACATCCCTCCTCTGCAGCACAAGCTCTCCCCGAGACAGACTGCCTCCTGCAAGCCCCAAACCACGCTCAGCACTGCTTACAGTCCAGCACAGCCCAGCACAGCCCATGATGTGATGCAGCGAAGTCTTGACAAGGGAGAGCGTTGGTACAATATTTTTTCTGTCCCTAAGACAAAACCAACTGGACTGTGGGCTGAGCCTGACCATCACAGAAGTCAGGCAGAGCTCTGTGTTGGATTCCAAGAGGAAGGAACAAGGCTGGCCTTCACACTGCCTGGTGCTGGCTGTCATGCTAGTACGCTTGGTAATATTTTGTGCACCTAAAAGCGAAGTGTCTACTGCCTGGACTCTCAACACATCCTCAGTATTTGAGCAGTTACATGTAAGGCAGTCTCACTACCTTACTTTTAGCTATGACCCTGTGAGAGTAAACCCTACACCTTCACGCTTAAAACTGCAATATTTCACAGCTTGAGCTATTATTTACAGTATTATTTACAAACCTGGGAAACAGGAATAAACTAGGATAGAGAGCCTACATGGAGCAGCTCAGCTTGAGTTAGTGCATAGGCTATTAGAGGCTTCAACTCATAGATACAGCCATGGCAGCTCCTTCTGGGAGCTGTGGTAGTTCTCCCTCTGCTCCTCACCAGACTTTCTGCCCACAGAGCCATGTTCCTTCGCTCTCCCACCATGTCCCCTTTCCTCTTTGCCTTTCTTGTGATATGAAACACATTAATCTCACACACCCAAAGCCACTCCACACATTTTAACACTCCCTCAAAGACCCTCATCTGCCCGAGTTCCCCCTGAAAATCACTTCTGAGCTCTCCCATCACCCCACCTTCCTACGTAAGACCTGCCTTCCCAGACACCAGCTCCAAATTGACTGCACTGCACGGAGCAGCCATCAGGCCCCATGGACAACTCAGACTGGCATTCAAGACAGGCCTCCTCCAGACAGAAAAGCCAGGAGCCTTTATGATCCATGAAAATGAACTGAAAAAATGATCCAGTCTTCTATAGCTGCACATATAGCCTATTTTTCAATATTTACCTCTTAAAGCACACAGGCCTTCACACCTCTATACGATGCATGAGATTCTGTGAGACATAAGCAGCACTGTTAGCTATTATCTCTGTTACAATTAAAATATTTTCTTTGAATGGTATCATTTTGAACAGCGTATTTAGCGACATGAACTTTTCCTCTGAGTGTTAAAACAGCATTATTCTTTAAATTAAAGCATGTGCGTCTGGCTGTTCATTAAATTTGGGTGTTAAAAAGGGATGCTACATCACCTAGCTTGCCCACCATCTTTCAGCTATCCTAATGATAAACTTGAACAATGAGACAGGAATCAGAAAATGGATCTGGTTACCAATTATTCAAAACACCAACCATTTCTCCAGTCTTACTTCTCCTGCAACATTATTTTGTCTTCACCTAGTACACACGTAGGCACAACAGGTACTTCAGCTTTGGTACTTTAAGTTTTGTTGAAGGCTAAGAACTATTCTAATTCACAAAATTAAATGCATCATTTGCTGTTGAACACTGACAGCAAGAAAGAAAATCAGCCTGGAGCTGTACTGTAATGAAAAAAAAAATCAAGTAGTGGCTTAGGAGTAACTCGTTTTTGCATTACCTGTGCAAAGCATCACTCTAGCTCTAAGATGTCCAAGTAAAGATACCCAGTTTAAGACACTAATCTTAAGGTATACATAAGGTCCAACTGCATACTTTCTGTTGCTTTGAGGCAAGAAAGATAATTAGTGGGTGATGTGATAAGAAAAAACCCCACAGCCGTGCAAAGATTTCCTTCTATTAAGTTATCTCCAACACTAAATATATCTATGTACTGTGTAATATACCAATAAAACTTCATGCACAGCTCATTTTAGACGGAGTGTTTTCATCCAGGCTTGAGAATAACAGAAGTAGAAGCTATCACTCCAGCCTGTGAAAAATAGAAGAAACCAGGCAGGATTGGCTTCTGGGTTACCACTTAGTTGTCATTTCATTATTTTCAACAAGATTCTTTCTACTTAAAACCTCTTAACTTCTGCACTTCTAAAATTCTATTACAGATTGTAATTCTCAGAACACTTATATGACAAGTAAGTTATCTCTTCCAGGAATCTTCCTTTTATTACAGTGTCTCTAAACAATTTTTATGGAAACTCAAGCCCCTACAAACAATAATCTTGAGGATGGTAATTTTGAAAGATAGAGTCTTCTATGAGGACTATAAAAACAAGAGCACTTCAAATGATTGGTCATTGAGTAATTTTGGTGTGAAAATCAGACTTATGGTCTAATCCTGTGAACTTATGTAACATTCTAACAGGACTCAACTTTTGAAAATCATTCAAGTGTTTTAAAGAGCAGTGGATAGCTAACCATAGAACTACAAAGCTTGAAAATTTGTATCTGAGGGTTTTTTTCAGCTTAGTAGATGTACAAATGTTCTAGTAAGAGTCAAACCCCATAAATCTGATGGATAGAGCCACATTCTTCAAGTGCCCTAATGATACTCTCAAGAGTCCTTTTTAGTAGTTCTAACACCAACATCTTTCACTTTTATACTTCCCTCACATGAAGCAACTCAGGAAGATATGCAACCAAGTGATCTCTTAAGGTCAACTTAAGAAACTCATCACTTTGAAACTCAAGAAACTCTCACTGCTGACTTTACCTTTGTAATCTCCCAACCATTCCCTCTAGCCATATAAATGTATACACTCTAAGGCAGTTGCAAACATGTAATTTAAAAAATGCTACCTGCAAACTCCTTAGAAGAGTAGAGGATTCAACAATGTATTTTGCCTTTTCAGGCTTGTAGCAGGTGACAAAGACAAGAATTCTTTAACAATTAGCAGTTATTTGCTGATTCTTGGTAAAAAAGGACAATTAGTGTCCATACAAGTTTGGCCTCTCCTGGCTGCTATGAAACATGAAGAAGAAAAATACACAGTGGTTCTGGAAATGCCTGCTTAACTATTTTGACAAAAATTGAATAAACCAAATAGGTATAAAGTAGCTGAAAACAGATGGATACAAAATACTAGGGAAAGGTTCCTAAATACTACAGCTGGCAAGGTTGAAAAAGCCTTCCATTTCACAGCAGTAGGAACAAAAATGTTAGCCATTTTAAACTAGTCTTCAGTAGCTGAGAAAGGCGATTATACAATGCACCCACCTATAAACAGGAGAAATAAGGCATTTTACTGCTGCTGTGCTCTAGCTCTTCAAATCTTAAGCATCTCTACAAATCCTACTGTCATGAACTTTACCTTGTACTTTGAATAGAGAGGTGGGAAAGCCACAGCCTGCCCAATTATCTGTTCCCCATCACCCTATACTTTTTTTTTGGATATTCTCTGTTAATAAGCTGTAAAAGGACTTACTTTAAACTAACCTATGAAGTGTTGAGTTAACAATTTCCTTTGTAAAGAGTCAGCAACTCTGCCTTCCTCCTATCAAATATCTGATTGAAACCTGGAGATTTTTATTAAAAAAGAAAAAATGATGAGCATTTACTGTCCTTAGGTTGAATTTCTTATTTAAGAAAACAATGGTATATAACTTTTTAAATTAAAAATAGTTTTTACCTGGTACAGGCTGTCTCTCATTCCATTCACTTGTGATTAAAACCTCTAGGATTTTTATGTGATATTCAGTATTATCAGAGCTGAAAAAGACGGTTTAAGCAGTAAGAACTACGAAAAATTGCCAATGTTTGTTAAAATTGTAAGAAAAAAGGAAATTGGAAAAATTTACAGAAGTGCCCTCCACATTAGAAGGTCAGGAAATTAATTCATTGAACTTACCCTTATGTAAAACTAACCCATATGTACAGTACAAAATAGAATATAGATGACCCACGTACCTTGCTATCTGAAATTTGAAAAGCAGAGGGCTGAAAATTTCAGCCAGAGACCTTGCATTCAAAAGATTTTTGCTGGAGGCTTGACAAACTCTGAGGAAATGTTTGAGCAAATACTGGAGTGTGAGCCAATACTGGGGAGGTAAATTTGGAGATCTGATGAGTTTCTTCAGCAACTGAGCATACTCTTCTGAGCTCTGCACTTCTGCAAGCAAACAGATAAAAGGCTCTTAATATCAGCACATTAACATTCAACAAGTAAAATGAAACTACATATGACTCCTTTAGAAGCATCAATTTTAGAGGAAAAAAAAATAAAATTCTGTCCTTCATTAGTGCAGTAAGACTTCTTTCTCCTTTTGAAAAAAGTGAAATGGCTCAGGCAAGAGAAAAGAACAAGCATTTAAAAGTCAAATGGAAACAGATACGCATTTTGGTAAAAACCACAATGTGTTCACAGTGTACTGGTAGAAGTCTGCCTTATGTTTAGTGTCACACATGATTGGGTAATTCTGAGATGCACTAGATAAGTCTCACAGGTGCTGTTGTGACTTTGAAGGTTACCAGTAACAATATCCGGTCCTGAGATACATAACAGACTATTTGGTCCACAAGCTGAAAGCCTGTAACCTGTACTTGCTTGAAATGACCACTGCAGATGATGAATCTTACATGTATGTATTTCTCACTTCATAAGCTGCAACTTCCAACATATTGCAGAATGTCATGACCTCTAATACATTTACTTTGTCAGCACTGATAAAAAAGTTAAAAATTAGCTTTCTGCATACAGATAAGTCCTTGATTTTTCACCCCAGTTTTTCTATAGTCATTCTACTTACTAAAATGAACTGTGTTATCCCATATATTTTCCATTATGTTTACTTAGATAGGTAACTAAATAATGCATGTCTACATCTGAATTGAAACAGCTTTTATTAAAAATGGTGAAAGTATATACGTTTTCTGAAATGCTGCCAGGTTGTGCAGAATCTTCCTCGTTCTGTGGGTGACAGCTAGACCACTGGCTATTCAGAATCCTAATAACAGCTTTTTTGCCTGACATTTGAAATGATGTGATAATCATACCTTGAGCTACAGAAATCATGTCACTGTAAACAGCTGCTGGAATGATGGGATTTGGCAGGTCCAGAAGATACCTCTTGAGAGCATCTGATAAAGTGTGCACATCAAATGTCTCTAAATCCAGTGAAGAAGCATCTAGAGGGAAAGAGCAACATACTTTTTAAACATTAGGAACTGGAAAAAATACACAAACTCATGATATACCAATCCAAAGCTGCTAAGTTCTATCTGGTTTATGGGGAACAAATTACAAGAAAGAGTGCAAGACACCAAGAAACATTTCTGAGATGAAGAACACAGTGCTCAACAGCATGGCCAGCCCTTTGACATCTGATGAACCAAATGGTTTCGACAGCTATGTGCGGCCTTCTGTCACATACGGCACAGAGCTGAACTCAGAATAACCGTAGTCAGTGACTTTGCTGCACGTTGGCAATGCTATGGAACATCAGAATATTTTTAACAGCTCTCTGTTTTACCTGTAAATACTTTGTGTGTGAAGTAAGTATTAATCAAGGGTTTGGGCAAATGCAGCTTCTCTACTGACAGCTACCTCTATTACAACTGGAAGTTTGATTAACAACTTGGGGCTCCAAGTCTGTAAATACTCATGTGAGCAAGTCAAAACAAATATACACGTGCAGAACTTGGTGCTTGGTGTGTTATGCAACTGTTAATATTTATCTTGTAAAACCTGATACCCTTCCAGGATGGTTATGACTTGGGCTAATACTTGGGAGTGTCGCATAAAGAACTACTTGTTAGTGCTGGAGCAAGGAATATCAGCAGCACAAATAAAAATAGGAGAAGACACAAATGCTTACTTAGGGCAAGCAAGATTAGGGTTCATCTTAAAACAAACTCTTGTGCAGTAAACTCCTAAATGTTTACAGAAAGATACATTTGGTACAAGAATTTAGAGGTATTAATGCTGACCAACTTTTTTAGGCTAGCCAAGTCCCTTGTAAAGTAACTGCTGAATCTATTTGGCCAGTTTGATCCAGATTTGACAGAGAGGTACAGGAATCAGATATGCGGTTTGTCTACTTACACTGTAAAAAACAGGCAGCCAAGAGGGGGTAGTGAAAAACTCAGTGCTACTCTACCTCATTTCTGGTTTCCCCAAAGGAAAGCTTGCAGTAGGAGCTCAATTTTATCAGACACCAAGGAATTTGCATGGTAAAAAAAAAAACAGTTATAGCTCACATGATAAAAAATTGCAGTGTGGGCATGAATTGTACAACAGCAATTATGCATCAAAATCATAGATTCATAGAATAGTTTGGGTTGGAAAGGACTTTTAGAGCATCTAACTCCAACCTCACCCTGTAGCATGACACCCAAGGCTCTGTCCAATCTAGCCTTGAACACTGCCAGGGATGGAGCATTTACCAATTCTTTGGGCAACCGGTTCCATCACCTCACCACCCTCACAGTAAAGAACTTCTTTCTTGTATCTGACCTGAACTTCCCCTGTTTCAGTTTAAACCCATTAACCCTTGTCCTATAGTCCCTAATGAGGAGTCTTCTCCAGCATCCTTGTAAGCCCCCTTCAGATACTGGAAGGCTGCGATGAGGTCTCCACACAGCCTTCTCTCCTCCAAGCTGAACAGTCCCAGCTTTCTCAGCCTGTCTTCATATGGGAGGTGCTCCAGTCCCCTGATCATCCTCATGGCCCTCCTCCGCACTTGTTCCAACAGTTCCATGTCCTTCTTATATTGGGGACACCAGAACTGCACACAATACTCCAAGTGGGGTCTCACAAGAGCAGAGGAGAGGGGCAGGACCACCTTTCTCAACCTGCTGGTCACACTCCTTTTGATGCAGCCCAAGATACGGTTGGCGTTCTGGGCTGCAAGTGCACACTGAAGCTGGCTCATGTTAAGTTTCTCATGTTAAGACCAACACCCCCCAGTCCTTCTCTCCAGGGCTGCTCTCAATCACTTCTCTGCCCAACCTGTAGCTTTTCCTGGGATTGCCACTGCCCAGATAATACTGTATTGAAGCTAATGGGCAGTTATCCAGTTAATATGGGGAACATTTTATCCACAAGCAGAATAGCACCCTAATGCAGTTCACAACTTTGAGACCCAAGCCAACTTTGCACTCCGAATTAGTGCTCTGCTAATTAAAGACAATAGGCAGAGGAGATGAGATCTGTCTTTATCCATACATTTGGACACCCACACACTGCACCAGCTCTGTCCTGGAAGATTCCGATGATATCTTAAAGGGAACCCATAAAGATACACTGTTATTAAAGAGTAAAGTCCTGTTTCATTTTGCCAAATGTAATTACATTCTAAATAAAAACACATGTAAACATGTTCTTGATCTCAGGAGATGAACCTTCCATAAAGGTACACCTCAGTTTAGAGATTTAAAAAGGGATTCAGATAAATTAAGAGATACATCCATACTGGTGCCATAGAAAATCTGGATTTAATTGGACTTAGAAATTGCAATACTAAAAATACAGCTTAGGTTGCTAGCATCGCATGCACATCTCCTCTCCCTGCTTGCACTCATATACTTACTTCACTCCCACCACCATCAGGAGAGGATGTTCTTTTGATTTGAAGGAACAGACAACTCCTATTATCAGCCGTTGTTCATTTTGTTAATAATTGCAATTACTAAAAATAAAGAGAGCTAATTCACAGTTTGAATCTGCCTTTTTTGTGTCCCTTTAGCAACATGGCACATAACCAGTTTCATTTTGTATTTTTGTGCTTTCTTCTGCAAGTGGAAGCTCACACCTGACACTGAGACCCAGCTTGCAAAGGTGTGATCAAGCACTTCTACATCAACTCCCAATCTGTTATACTGTGACAGCGTTGCCATGCCAGTATATTCTGGCCTGAAGTAGAAATAAAGAGTCCGAAAAAGAGAAGGAAATATATTTTGGGAAACTTGAATGGGTGTAGGGTGTTAGCGGTGTAGCTGCATTTTACTGCCCCAAACCTGAGAATCCAGCCTACTGCAGCAACATCAATTAAATTCTCTTTGCCTTCCAGTATTATCTCTGTAGCAGGCATGCAATGTGCATCTATTGCCTCCCCACCTGCTGGACCAAAAAAATGCACACAGAGAACTGTATGCAAACAAATAGACATTTGTTTTCAAAATAATAACCTGCAGCCTTACAGGAATACTGTATCTTTATCTTGCTTCTGATAAAGCATCTTGTTTTTCTCTGTATAGCTAGATTGTCAGTCTTTGAACAAGCAAGTGACCAAGAAATGATTAAAATAATTATTCTTAGAAAAAAAATGCAGTGAAACCACGAAAAAAAGAAACCCTGTAAAAATGAAAGATGTTTCATACTAAGTGTAAAAGTTACAAATATTTTTTACTTAGCTTTTTAATATTATATTATTCACAGCCAGCACATGTATGTAAGCAGAGTAGGGGAGCAAAGAAGAGAGAAACAGTCTGACCACAAATTCTAACTAGTGCTTTAAGGAAGAGAACTATACTTACCACATTCAAGAATTTGTCTTAATTCTGCTGAGCTGCTTGAACCTTGTGTTCCATACAAAGTTGAGCACTCCAGACCTTCAAAACAAAATTGATGGGATACATTAATATTCCAGTGACTGTTGCCATGATACAACATATTTCTGTTTTCTTCAAGTAAGTGTCTACAGCATAAATAGCAACATTCTCCCACTAGCATCCACCTACCACACATGGAATGTGATTGCTTTTTAAGGCTGTAAGACACCTCTTTGTACATGCAAATTGCTGTCTGCAGGAAGAGCTGGCCAAGGAAAATCAGGGTTGCCAGCAGTCCCACATATTCTGTACAACTCTCCACAGGCTGACTGCAGAAAGCCAAGACTAAGGGAAAAAAACAGCTTGCAGGGGAAACATGGGAGCCAGATCTTCCTTGACATTCTGCATGCCCGCTGGAAACACCAGGTCTTTTAGTTGGGTAAGAAGTGAATAATTTGAGTTAGGCCACCCCACAGGAATGGGACAAGGACATGACAAAAGTTCTGACACATCCTAATAGGTTCAAAGATTTAAATGAGGCTTCTACGTTACAAGCATGACTTCTGGCACCCTATGAGTCAACAGACACACAGAGCCCCTTCTACAGGACAGGTAACACTTAAGTCATTTTTGATTATCCACAGAACCATAACGTCACTGTGTACGTAAGGCAAGTGTCACACCACTGTGTATGAGAGAAGTATGTCTGATAATCCACCTGAATAGAATACACCAGTACAGTGTTTTCATGTGAAAGATACTGTTACAACTTCACTACTTCAGTGAAAACAAGGAAGATAGTCCAAGTAGCCTCCACTGAGCAGAAACCTTAAATGAGATTATTCCATGTCTGTCAAGCTGCGTTAGCAGCTCTAGAAAGAGGAAATGCCAGCTCTGGATCTAGTTCTGCAGTCTGGGCTCACATAAGTAAAAAAAAAAATCTTGGTAAATTGCTCTTCAGCATACCTTTCTTTTCAATGGTCTCCACTATCTTGATAAGAATCGGTGGAGCAACATCAGGAGGTGCGAACTGTTCTGTAAGATCTGGAAGTGAAAAAGCTGTAAAAGAACAGACATAAGCCAACTTACAGATGAATGTAACTTCTGTTTAGGAAAGTCATGACACGTAATGCAACCAGGTAATTTTTAAGAACAGAACAAACATCCCACTGGCCTAAACAAGAACATTCCACAAATAATTAGAAAGCTGAATAAATATGACAATTCCGTTTTTATAGTATATTCTTTTAGGGATCTCAGTCAGTCCTAGAATCACTCTCCATATTGCCTAGGAAAAGAAAACATAATGAAAGTTTGCAATGTATGGATGGGCAGAAATACAGTTCAAGGAAGGGAAGTCTTTTGGTCTGAAACGTTTACACCCAGTGTGCACCAGATGAGGGAGCTAAGCACATCACCATCTGGGAATTGCTGATCCCCTGGGTAAAACAGACTTAAAAAGACCTGTATTTCACACTCTTACAAAAGTTCAATAACTTCTGTTTCCTTTCAATTTCCAAGCATGCTACTATTAATAGTGTTGTGCTTCACGTAAAGCAAGAACTTTCTTTTACAATGACTGGTTAGGAATCAACAGCAGCATAATCAGAAAGGGACATTTTGCAGATTCAAACAAACCTGCATACAGATTTTATACAAAGTCAGCTTTCACGCAAGCCACTCATTTCACAAAGAGAACACACTGCATAAAGGAATGTTCTAGCTTTGTGATGTGAGGGATGTTCTATCTCTCAATGCACTATTTTTGCCAAAAGAGTAATTCAAAAGTTTTAGAGCAGTCCTGTTTAACTCCTGGAAAGAAAGACCGTTTACATAAAGATATTATTAAACTACTGCCAGAAACATCTGGCATAGATTGATGGATTATGATTGATAAACAAAGCTTAATCACTGAAGTAAAAGTTGCCAGTTGCCTAAGCGATGGTGATCCCTGCCGAATCAAACTCACCATGGACAAGTAGACAGCAACCCTTAAACACACATGCACAAGTATGCCTGCATGCATATGTATACATACATACATAAATGCACATACTTTATTCCTAAAAGACTGAAACTGGAAAAAAAATAAGGATAATTAAGAAATAAAAAAAACCAACAAACCAAAACTAAAAACTACAACAGCTAAATATGGGTGGAGAGTCTTTAATGAAAACCTTTGAAATAGCCAAAAATTAAATGTACCAAAACTGAAAAAGAGAAAGCAGAAATTTTTGGCTCAGAATTCACCCTATTTTGGAAGCAAAAAAATATATAACTTTTTAAAGATGCAAAAATTAAAAATTGGTAAGACAGCAAGGAACATACAGAAGAAGTCTGGACATGAAGAAAACTGAGGAGAGAAATGAAAGACAATAAATAACAATTGTTTACAAACTAGCAATGGAAGCGGTGCATACTGGGAGACTGAGACATGCCCCTTGCAAAAAGAAGAATGATGCTACAATAATAACAGAAAGGTTTTGGTTGGAAGGGACGTTAAAATTCTCTGGTTCCAGGCCCACTGCAACAGGCAGGGACACCTTCCACTAGGCCAGGTTGCTCAAAGCCCCATCCAACTTGGCCTTGAACACTGCTGGAGATGGGGCAGCCACAGCTTCTCTGCGCACCCTGTGCCAGTGCCTCACCACCCTCACAGGGAAGAATTGCCTCCTAATACCTGATCTAAATCTACCTTCTTTCACTTTAACGACATTACCCCCTTGTCCTATCACTACTTACACCTACAATGATGAAATACTTTCTAGTTCATTCAAACTGAAAAACATGTGTTAGTCATAACAGTTTAACTTTGGAGGCCCAGAAAATGAGCATCCAGGAGTCCCTAAAGAGTTGCCTAAGCAGATCTCTGACCAGATCATATTATTTTTTAATGACTTGTGAAAAATCAGAGAAATTCCTGGGGATCAAAAAAGTTCTAATACCGTATCTGCACTCAGAAAGAATAAGTAAGATGACTACATACTAGTTATATTACCAGTTCTGGACAAAATGAAGGAAAACATGATACTAGACTGACATGCTAGAGCAATAAAAGACAGCACTGTAACTAAGGGTTGTCTGCTTAGCTTTTTAGAGGGTAGATTCTGTTAAAAACCACAGTACTTCCTTCCTTGGTGGCACCCTAGGTAGCTGAAAAATGCAAACGAGTAGACATAATAAACTCTAAAGTTTTGTCAGATAGTTGAATTAGTATAACACTGCGATTAAAAGCTAGAATTATGAGATAGTAACAGACTCACAAAATGCTAAGGGCATAAAATGCATCCCTTATGTGGAAGCAGAGGAAGAACAGGTTTTAAGAACAGAGTTTACATATTTTTATGTATGAAAGTAACTTTCTGCTCCCTTAGGTTGCTAGTTACATTAAGTACCATTCTCCCTCTTGCATAACAGCAATGAAATTGCATCACCTCTGAACAAAGACGTTCACCTCATAATTCCAGCTAGAGGCAGCATGCAGCAACAGTCTAAACTGAAGCTGAGGAAAGAAAGGAGACACAAGGAGAAACAGAGACAGAGGACAGAAGTAAAATGCAACAGGCATTTGAAACATTTTGGGTGAAAGCTAGGCAGGTCAGGGATAGTCCTTTAAGGCTACTGAAACCAAAGAGAACCATGCTTTCTCACATTAACCAAACTGTGCCTTGAAATGATGGCAAGAGACCTATAAACAAGGTGTATTTAGGAAAATAATTCTATTTCACACTAAATTTTGATTTTCTACAAAAGGGATGGAGTCCAAGCAAAGCAAAAAGGAGAACCCAATGTCAGGTTCAGTTCATGGGAAGAAGCCCTTGAAGGGTGAAAAAAGACTCTACAGAGACTGGTTTGTCTCTGTGGGACATAAGGAATGAGGCGGATGTAGACGTTATCTAGATTACGTAAACAAAGACTGCCTCCTACGGCAACTATCCTGATGCTCCATTCTTTTCGTGTACACTTTAAGCAGGATCTTAGCTTATAAACTAGGTTTGTATCACAATCTGTTACAGAAAGTGAAAAGGCTTTTGGAAGCTATGCATTTACCTTTTTTTTTCATGCAAAACCTGTAACGACTACAGAACATACAGTATGTAAAGCCAACGGCACACTGGTTAAAAGGAAGATTTCCATCACTCCTCTGCTACCCTAAAATATGCAATTTGAAAAATATTAAAATTTTAGGAGTTTATGGGATTTCTGGTGTCTCTTCCTCCATATATCAAGTTCCTTTTCTCGAAAATTATGAGTTTCTAGCTACCAAAGAGACTGCTGAAATTTTAGATATGAAGAGAGCCTTTAAAATAGTAACAATTTATGCCACAAATACATAAACTGTAAATTACTCGTGTATTTGGCTAAAACCACATGATATTCACCTCTCTTTTAATACTATGCATACACTGGTGAGTATAAGCTCTACAGCAAAAAGACACAAACATATACAAACAGATGATGGCAGGTATAAAGCCTGCAGTTATCTTCAACACAGCAGTAACAGAAGAATGCATCTAATTCACACAGTTACAGCACTCAGCAACACTGAAAAAAGCACTCCCTCCATGAGCATGTAGGAGATGACATTAACAAATTAAAATCACTTAACCTCCCACCTGTTCTAGGATTTCCTACTTATTGCGCCATCTCCAATATAATTAACTCACAGCATCGTACTGATTTGTACTTTAAACTTCCCAAATTTTGCACAAAATAGAAAATTATCTTCAGTTAAAGGCCCCACGAAACACATATCCGTCAGGAAACAAAAGACTTAGCAGTACTTACAGAGCTGAAGCCAGTTTAGAACACTTACACAGAAGACAGCCCAATTTTGGAACAGTGCCCTTCAATTTCAAAATGAGCAAATGGCAGAGGCTAAACCAAACAAAACTACACCTAATTTTGGAAAAAAACACCCACTTTGACACTCAGAGGCAGAATACAAGTTATCCTTGAAGAACTCCTGATTCTAGATAATGTGTTCCAGAATAAAACTCAGCATGCATCTTAAGATCTACAGAGGGAAAGGAAAACTTTTCAGATACACCAGTTTTAATAAAAGAGAAGTGAAAAAAGCTCACATGCAACCTGCATTTATTACCTGATTTCAAAAACATCTTTTGCTTTGAAGCATGCTGCAGTATAGCACGGAGGTTTGGTGAACCAAATCCACTCCTAATAATCTGAGCAACTTTGTAGATCCCTTTGCTAAAATCCAGCATCAGTTTTTCACGTAAAGCAATCATTTTTCCCCCGAATTGCTGTAATTTTTCTCAAATTCCACACTCTCCAAAATATTACGGTTCTGAAAAGCTTTAACACAGTTTTCGTGTCTTCTTTCTAGTCACAAGTCTGGTAGTGGGTCTCCAGATAGTAAGGAAGCTTCTGATGACACATGATAAAAGCTGAATTTTCCACTGGCTTTATTTTTACCTTGACACAGTGAAAACCAGTGAGATGAACCACAAGCCAGGGTTTGCTTCAATCATGAACTCTTCCCTCTCCCTGACACAGACAGGCCTGAACAGTGCTAAGGCAATGGCAGTGTGTGAGAGACAGGAGCATACTATGTTCAAAGGTTGCCAACAGAGCCACAAAGTGCAAGATGAAACCAGCACACAGCTGCACCTTCTGGAAGGGTTCTCAGTAAGAAGAGATACTTTAGAGTTAGTACCTGGCAATGACAAGCAGAAACTTAAAACTGGCATTTGGCTTCTGAGGCTTCTGAGCCAAATGTTTCATTACTGCTAGAAGCAGAATGAATATGAATATTAAAATGAAAATGAAAAAAAAAAAGCAAACCCACCAAACAAAAAAATTCCTCAAACCAACCTCCCCCCCAAAAAAACAAACCAAAACACACCCCCCCCCCCGCCCCGAACTTAAAATGTAACAATACATACCACAGAAACCAGTTTGATTTCTAAATATTTTACAGGAACTATATAGTATCATAACTGGAATTTAGCTTTGAGTCAAGATTACTCCGTGCATGTTCTTCTTTTGTTCAGAAATTACATTATGTTTGCACATACATATTGCATTCAGTGACAACA